GACCAAGAAGTGGCTGTTGGGAAGTGATTTGGAGCTCAGGCTCTTTGAGTCAGGCAGGCTTGTGTTTGGATCCAGCCTTCACCATCCACTTGCAGTGTGACCTGAGGCAAGTTGCCTGGCCTCCCTGAATCTGTTTCTTATCTGTAAATTAAAACAAAAACAAACAACTGAAATCTGCTGTTGTCAAGTCAGTTCTGACTCATGGCGACCCAGTGTGTTACAGAGTAGAACTGCTCCATAGGGTTTTCTTGGCTATAATCTTTACTGAAGCAGATTGCCAGGCCCTTCTCCCGTGGTGCTACTGGGTGGTTTCAAACCCCCAGTTTTTGAGTTAACTGTCGAGTACAAACCACTTGTGCCACCCAGGGACCTTTCGTCTGTAAATGGGTCATGATAACATTTGTCTCCAAGAGCTGGACTGAGGAAGAAATGAGAAATGCCATGTAAGACCTGGCATACAGCGAGGGCGCAGTCAGTGTTTGCTGCTTTTATCACCAACAATTATTAACATCCTCTGTGGCTTCAAGGTGATGGATTGCTGCCTTAACCAGGCCGTTCAAGAATGTAATTTTGGCCAAATCACTGTGTGGTCCACATTTTCTGCTCACCCCATTCTGGCGGGCTCTGGGCTCTGTGAAATCTGAGCAAGGGGCTGGGCAGCTGGCTCCTCGCTGCTGACACTGGCGTGATGCTGACGCCTGCCGGGAGCCTGGCCTGTGGTCAGTGCTGCCCTTCAGGGTGTGGGCAAGGCAGGGCTTGTGCACTTTTGGAAAACAGTCCCCACCCGGGCCTCCTTCACCTCCAGGGGACAACGGCCCTTTTCAGGAAACCCAGGAAAAGGTGGCACACAGCCTCCTTCCCCAGCTCTCAGGAGGGGAAGGGCAAGGGTGGCCTTTGCCCAGCTCAGCTTGCCCGCCTTGCCACTCTGGGCGGGGCTGGGGACAGTGTGGTCAAGGTGGTCGCTCTGATGACCTGGCCCTAGCTCTGGCCTACACTCTGTCCCCTCCACCTTCCTCTTCTCAAAGGAGAAGAGCGAGCCTGAACTTCTCTTTTGGGTTTGGAGAGGAGTAGCCAGAGGTAGTGAGCAAGAAGAGAAGTCAGAGATGGTGAGCAGCAGTATGCAAATGTGAAAGGTGCCTTTATTTTTTGAGATGAAAATAGATCATTTATTCAACAATAATGTCTCCACATACGCACTCTTTTCTCATGTTTCTTACTATTTTTTGTGTGAAAATATACACAACGAAACCTTCAGAAAGGTGCTTTATTTTTGACGGTCCACTGTTGGGGACAGAAAAAAAATCACCTTTACAAGAAATGAAAAGGCCGGTATATAATCAGTTAAATGTGAGTACGTGAGTGTGTGTGTATGAGAGAGAGAGAGAGAGAGAAGGAGCATGAGGAGCGGATGTGATTGCCAAGTTGATGGGTTTCTAAGATGTTCTGAACAAGCTTTCAGACTGAGTTTGAAGGGAGACCTCATGGAGTGAGTAGGGTGAATTCTAGGACAAGGACTGGCCCCAGGGAATGTCCCTTCCCTGAGAGGGACTCCTGGGCTGGATGTAGGAGGTTTTGTAGACTCTGGCTTGGAAGGGACTTGGATGGAGGAAGAAAGTGGCTGCCGGGTAAATAGACCTGAGAGTGGACTGCCAGCGCCCCAAATCAAGCCCTGCTACCCGGCTCACTGGGCGAGCCTGCCTCAGTCTCCCCATCTGTAGGTGAGGTGACAACAGCACCTGCATCGGGGTTGTTGAGAAGATCAGTGAGTTCACATGTAAGAAGGAAGACCAGGGCTCTGTGTGGAGTGAGCCCTTGACTAATGGGAAACTGTTGTTGTCACTACAGTGGGACCCTGGGGATTTTGCAGCTCAATTAACAAACATTTACGTAAACAGAGAATAAATTTACAAAAAAAAAAAGCAAATAAACGTAAAAATCACCTATTTGCATCATTCTCACAGTGTCACTTCCTTCCAGAAGACTCCCTATCCCCTATCCCCATGGGATTAGGTGCCCCCTCCCAACTCCCACAGCCTCCATCATGAGCACACTGTCTTGGTCATATCTGGGTCTCTCTGTCCAGCTAAACCGTGAGCTCTGTGAGGCCAGGAGTGGCCGCTCTGTCTCTATCATGGGTGCCCATGGGTGCCCTGTGTAGGTCCAGCCATCATCACTCTTAAGTGTATGTTGGCAGCTTATCTGGTCTGTTGTTGTTAGCTGCAGTCGAGCAGGTCCCTGACTCGTGGGGGCCCCATGCACAGTGGAACAAAATGTTGCCTGGTTCTGTACCATCCCCATGATTGGTTGCAGATTGGACCATTGTGATCTATAGGGTTTTTACTGGCTGATTTCCAGAAGTAGATAGCCAGGCCTATCTTCCTAGTCTTTTTTAATCTGTAAACTCTGCTGAAACCTGGTCTACCCCTCAAAAAACAAACCTGTTGCGTTGAGTCGATTCTGACTCATAGTGACCCTATAGGACAGAGTACAACTGCCCCATAGGGTTTCTGAGGAGCAGCTGATGTATTTGAACTGCCGACCTTTTGGTTAGCAGCCAAGTTCTTAGCCTGCACCACCTGATCTAGAGGCTTCTAAATTCTGGAGATTATAGGGCAACCTTGTACAGGAGTAGCAAATGCATGGAATATTTGAAGTTAGAAAACCAGGATTCAAATTCTGCCGCCAGTACCCTAGTTCCAGTCACACCTCCTCTTTAAGCCTTGACTTCCTCACTTGTTGTTGTTAGTCGCTGTCAGCTCTGACCCATGTACAACAGAACAAAACATTGACCAGTTCTGCAACATCTTCACAATTACTGGTATGTTTGAGTCCATTATTGCAGCTATTGTATCAGTCCATCTCATTGAGGGTCCCCTTCACCTTCACTAGCCCTCTGCTTTACCAAATATGATATCCTTCTTCAGCAATTGGTCCCTCCTGACATGTCCAAAATAAGTGAGTTGAATTCTCGGACAATATTCCGGGATCCATAGGGTTTTCATTGGCTAATTTTTGGAAGTAGATCACTAGGCCTTTCTTCTTAGTCTTCCTCGCCTGTAGGATGGGGGAATTGGTGCAGTGTTGGTTACTGTGAGGGCCATGTGAGGGTCATGTGAGAGAACTAGAATGCACTTTGTCCACCATGGGGCACCAGACACACCAGAGTAACTCAGCCATCAGCGTTGCCTGGGGAGTGAAGTTACAAAGTCATCATGTAAGGCAAGAGTATGATCAGTATTGCCCTTGAAAATTCCTTAGGAAGGAGCCACAGTGGGGACCAGCTCACCGAGTCTCCATGAGTCCTACACAGCCCATTACCCTTGAGCTTTGCAATAGGTTAGAACCTTGGGTGGCACAGATGGTTTGCGCTTGGCTATTAACCCAAAAGGAGCCCTGGTGGCGTAGTGGTTAAACACTGGGCTGCTAACTGAAAGGTCTGCCATTCAAACTCACCAGTCGTTCCGTGGGAGAAGAGACCTGGTGATCTGCTCGCGTGAAGATTACAGCCTAGGAAACCTATGGGGCAGTTCTACTCTGTCACATGGGATCGCTATGAGTCAGAATCGACTTAATTGACTGGATGGCGCACAGCAACAACAACTAACCTAAAGGTTGGTGGTTTGAACCCACCCAGTGGTACCATGGAAGAAAGGCCTGACAATCTGCTTCTGTAAAGATCACAGCCTAGGAAACCCAATGGAGCAGTTCTACTCTGTAGCACATGGGTCGCCATGAGTCGAAATTGTCTTGAAGGCAGTGGGTGTTTTTGCAGTAGGTTGCTCTGCAAAGGCTCCAGATGAAGCAGCTCACTTTGGGAGCCATGTTGTAGGAGAAAGTACTCTTTTTAAACACTGAACCCCCATGCAGCAGTGGAGGAGATGCTCATCCCTAGAGGCTAGCAGGACTATGGGAGGGAACTACCCGTAGTTCTAGTCTCCCATTTCCTGGACCCCAGCTCATTGTGTGGAATTGCTTGCCCCATTTATACGGTCATTTCTCTCTCTCTCTCTTTTTCATCAAATAAGAAACAGTTGCTTTGCTCAGAGGGAAGGCGTCTGGGAAGAAATTCCACTGTGATTAGTGGACATTTGCTTAAAACCTTTTTTTCATTCTTCTTTTAATGTATGTGAAATGATACAAATAAATACACGGAAACATTCCTATTAATATTGTTTAATACAGAGAGTGAAAGTGCCCTTTGAATCCCTCCCCATCTGTCAGGCTACTGTCAGGATGGGGGTCTATCTTTCCAAGTTTTCCATTCATTTACATACACGTGTGAACGTTTGTGAAAGTGCAAGAAGTAGACCACTTTTATTGTTCAGTGATCTGTATTTTTTATTAACCAGCTTTAACAATCTTTCTTCAATAGTAGAATCCTCACCTTTCATGCAGGAGACCTGGGTTCGATTCCCAGCCAGTACACCTCATGTGCAGTCACCACCTGTCTGTCATTGGAAGCTTGTGTGTTGCTATCATGCTGAACAGGTTTCAGCGGAGCTTCCAGACTAAGATTGACTGAGAAGAAAGGTCTGGCAATCTACTTCCAAAAATCAGCCAGGGAAAACCCTGTGTATCAAACGTTGGTCTGATCCACAACCGATCATGGGGATGGTACAGGAGCCTGGGCAGTGTTTGGTTCTGTGGTGCATGAGGGCACCCCACGTTGGGGGCTGACTCAACAGCAGTTAATAACAACAACAACGTTTGTAGAGCTATTCTGTTCTTGCAATGTTATTTACTCCATACTGTGGGTGTATAATACTTTGTTTTTCCCAAACGCAGAACATTGTTTCTCTGCTTGCTTCTCTGCTGGTCTGATGCACAGCACTGGCCACTGTTAAGAACAAGTATCTCCTGGTTCAGCTTCTCGGTCCCCATCTGGACGTTAGCCTCCGTTTTCACGCCCCTTATCTCATGCTGGACTCTCTGAGCAGGCCTCCAAGGGTCACTTTTTTGCCGAGCGTGCCTTGTTGACCTCCCCCACCTCTGCTTTGCAGGCCAAGAACAAGGAGACAGGCGCCTTGGCTGCAGCCAAAGTAATTGAGACCAATAGCGAGGAGGAGCTGGAGGACTACATCGTGGAGATCGAGATCCTGGCCACTTGCAACCACCCCTACATCGTGAAGCTCCTGGGAGCCTACTACTACGACGGGAAGCTGTGGGTAAGGGCGCTGCCTCCCGCCTCCCCTCGGCCCTCATGTGTTGGTCCAGAACCCCTGAGCCTAGTTCTGACATCTTCAGTTCTTTCTCAGGGTTTGCTTTGAAGGCAAGGGCAGGACAAGGAGAAGGTGAAGTAGGTGGACTCTAGGTCCCCTGCCCTCCCCATCATCCCACAGAGCGTCCCCACTCTTATGTGTAGAGTTCAGAGCAGGAACTCTAACGCTGTAGAGCCTCTGCTCAAACCCCAGCTCTGCCACTTACGAGGTGGATAACCCTGGGCAAGTTCTTAACCTCTCTGTGTCTGTGCCTCAGTTTTGCCATCCTTAAGGCAGGGATAATAATAGTACTATCTCATGGAGTAGTTAATGAGGATTAAATGAATTAATGCATATTAGGTGCTTACGGCAGTGCCTGGCACATGGAAGATCTCGGTATGTGTTGGCTGTCTCATTGCTTGTAGTAGTAGCACCTTTGCTATTGCTGCTGCTGCTGCTGCTGCAACACAGGGATTCTTTTTTTTTTTACATGTTATTTTATTGTTGTACTTTAAGTGAAAGTTTATAATTCAAGTTAGTTTCTCATACAAAAATTTATACATACATTGTTATGTGACCCTAATTGCTCTCCCTGTACTGTGACAGCACATACCTCCTTTCCACCCCTGATTTCCTGTCCATTCAACCAGCTCCTGACCCTCTCTGCCTTCTCATCTCACCTCCAGACAGGAGCTCCCCATTTAGTCTCATGTATCTACTTGAGCTAAGAAACACACTCTTCACGAGTATCATTTTATGTCCCATAGTCCAGTCTAATCTTTGTGTAAAGAGTTGGCCTCGGGAATGGTTTTAGTGCTGGGTTGACAAAGAGTCCAGGGGCCGTGCTCTCTGGGTTCCTCCAGTCTCAGTCAGACCGTTAAGTCTGGTCTTTTCAGTAGAATTTGAGTTCTGCACCCCACTTTTCTCCTGCTCCAACAGAGACCCTCTGTTGTGTTCCCCTTCAGGGCTGTCGTTGGTGGTAGCTGGACCCCATCTAGTTCTTCTGGTCTCAGGCTGTTGCAGTCTCTGCTTTATGTGGCCGTTTCTGTCTCTTGGGCTAATGTTTTCCTTGTGACTTTGGTGTTCTTCATTCTCCTTTACTCCAGGTGGGTTGGAACCAATTGATGCATCTTAGATGGCTAGCTTTTAAGACTGCATGGGGATTCTTTTATTCTTTTCAATGGCAGCGCTAAAGAGGGGGAGGCCTTTAACACCCCCTTCTCAGTTAGCAACCTCATCCTTTGAGGTACAAAATGAAGATGCAGCTTTAAGCCCCACCTTCCAACCTCAGCAGCACCCCTCAACTTCTAAAGAGGAATTCTGGGGTGCCCCCTGATTTTCATGGGACAAGCCTGCCCCACAGAATGTCTTCCCCACTGACATCTTTCCCATGTTCATGCCTCTCAGTTCATAAAACCGAAACTTCTTACAACATACATATCTCTCCAAACTTTTTTTCACCCAATGTTTTATAGATAAAGCATCATATTTAAGACCCCCAAACTCAGCAGGCATTGCCAGGATTATGAACGAGTTCCGTTCCTAAGTCTGTCTTTAAGTCAAATTTGTATGTGAGTCAGAACAGTTAGGTACGGTTCATATCTAAAGTCAGTTAGTCAAATTTTGTCTTAGTATATAGTATGTAGCGTACCTTCCTATGTATAAAAACATTAAAGAAACACTTTCAGATACACTAAAACACCTTTAGCATAATAATATAGTAATAATAATAGTAATGTTTTGATGTACGTTGCAAAGTAGCACCAGTTTGTTATTACAAACCATTATATGTACTGTACAACATTTGTAACAAAAGGATGTATAGGAAAAGTCTCGAGTTAATTCTGGATGCGTTTGGAAGACAGCCAGCTTCGTACGTAGATGTTTTGAATGGGGATTGGAGGGTCACCAAGGGTCTGGGCATCTCAGCTGTTGCTGGAGCTGAGAGCCAGCCCAGAGTCAGGTTACCACACACTGCAACTGTTTGCTAACAACCCTAATAATTATTTGGTGTCCAGGAAGTGGTGTTTTAAGCGTTTTGCATTCTATTGTGCTTGTTTATAGAGGAAGCTTTACTGTTTTAGTTACATTTTAGGAAACTGGTTTGGGGTTTGGAGTTGACATATAATGCTTTATAATTTTTCCCATTTAAAATAATGACATATAGACTTCTGGTTGGTTGGTTTTTTGTTTTTTGGTTTTTTCTTTTTTACAAAAAATACCTGATTTTTAGGAACAGCACTGCTGGTACTAAATGGGAAGGTCTGTGTTTCCTTTGAAAAAAGGATCCTGCTGCTTTAGAAAACCAAAGGAGAGTTAAGAAACCACGTTAAAGTTTATTCCTCTCATTTCAATAGGTATGGTATAATTTCACCTTTTATTTTTTTAAGAAAGAAATATATATGCATTTTTTAAAGGTGAACTTATACCATGTGTATCTGCATAGGAAAAGTCTAGAAAAATATACTCCTAATGTGATCAGTGGTTAGTTATCTCTGGTGGTAAAAATTTGCATGGTTTTAATTTTTTGTTTGTTAGAGACCTGAAATGCAAGCAAAGGGGGGTGAGAACTTGACCCTGCTACCCCTACCCAGAGTTCTGTTTACCAGAACTAGCTGCCGCCCTAGACGGAGGCCAGCTTCCCTCGGCCTCTCTGAGTATCTCCTGTCTCCTTGTCTTAGACAGGGAGATGGCGGGGGCGGGGGTAACATCATTACCACCTGACTGCCAGCTTCCTATTTCAAAGCCTTTCCTCATCACCGTCTCCAGGAAACTCGAGAGTTGAGCAGGGCGGGGAGAGTGATCACCTTTCTCCAGAGGAGGAAACAGAGGCACAGAGTGGGTAGGCCTGTAGCTCATGGTCACACAGCTAAGGCGGAGGAAGCTGAGATGATGTGTTTCCTTCCTCCATGATTCTTGCAGCTGCTTTAAATTTTTTTTTCTTCTTTTAAGATGTTACACAAATATTACATATATGGTCACCAGAGGAAAATGAGTATACAGAAAAGAAAAAAAGAAAAAAAAACATTAAAACCATTCAAAGTCTTACCACCAGAGGTAACTTACCGCTGATAACATTCGGAGTGTATTTTGTTATGCATACAGACACACAGACACACACACATACATATTTTTTTAAAGGTGAACCATACCTGTTGCTTTACCTCTTACTTTTTAAATTTAAAATGTATTCAGAACATCTTTCTATGTCAGTAAGGAAATGCCTGCTGTTCATCTTTCATGGCTCCATAGATTTGCATTTTCTGACTGTGCTATCTTCTATTGTTGGACATTTAGGTTGCTTCTTATTTTGTTGTTGTTTTTATAAACAATTCTATGTTGGACATCTTTGAATTTTTTGTGTTCTTGTCTGAGAACCTCTTTAGGATAACGTCTTAGAAGTAGAGTTCTTAAGGTTTTTAAATGTGTATTGCCAAACTGGCCTCACAGAGCCACTTTTGATATAAACTAGAGTTCTCTCATATACCCACCCACCCATCGGTCCACCCACCTCCCCACCCATTCATCCATTCATCCATCCATTCTCCTAACCATCTATACAACATTTATTGGATTGTCAATTGTGTACTCATTAAGAAAAACACCTATTATGTGTCTGTTCCCGTTATTGAATGTGACTGTGTGCCAAGCCATTACTTACCCAGGCCCAAAGACAGTACCAATAATGTTGTTGTTGTTAGCTCTCATTGAGTCAACCCCTGACTCGTGGAGACCCCATGCACAACAGAAAGAAATGCTGCCAGGTCCCAAGCCATCCCCATGATTGGTTGGAAATTGGACCATTGTGGTCTATAAGATTTTCATTGGCTGATTTTCGAAAGTAGATCACCAGGCTTTTCTTCCTAGTCCATCTTAGTCTGGAAATACCAATAATAGCTAATATTTATTGAGAGTTTATGGTGTGCTAGGCCTCTTGCTATGAGTTTTGCTTGCATTATGTGATTTGCCCATCACTCTTTGAGGTTGTTGCCTTATCCTCATTTTCCAGAAGAAAACTAGAAACAAAGAGGCTAAAGAGTAACTTGCCAAAGGTCACACATGAGAAAGTGGCAGGGCTGGAAAATCAGATAGAGAAGAGAACAATTCTTTAGCTGGATTGTGACTGTCACAAGGTTGTTTAAACAGATAAGACAGCATTTACTGTTCCAAAGTTGTTGCTTGAGGCTGGTACATGCTTATCTGGTACATTCTTCTATGGTCAAAAATATTTCGCATCCTCTTTTGTAGCTGTCCTACAGCCTAGGTTTGTTACTTTGTAGACCCTTAAAGGTGCCATCTCTTCATTTTTTTTTTTAAATTTTATTTATTTTGTTGTTGATGTTGAGAATATACACAGCAAAACATACACCACCAATTCAATAGTTTCTATATGTACAATTTAGTGACACTGATTACATTCTTTGA